TAAAATTTTCCTTTTGCTTGATTGACTCTGAACCTCATCGATATGAGCACCTCTTTAATACTTTCCTTGCTTCCAATGTTGTTGTGTCGCACCAGCTTATTAATCATCTGCATTTTGTTCTAGGGTTCTTGGCCTTTGGGATTTTCTGAAAATGCATACCCAATATCCCATGGGCAACGTGCTTTACAGATGTCAAGAAAAACTGGACAATTTTGGATAAGTTTGACAAACTGCATCTGTGTAACAGATTTTGTTGGTTTGATGTGCTTTGCTGATCTAGCAATAGTGTTGACTGCACCTAAAGCACGTAAATGTTATTGGCCTGTCACTATGGCTTCATACTTACTTCCATCCTCAAGTCACATCTCAATGACTTAGCCTTTTTCTTTGTCCAAAAGATTCTGGCTAAAAGGTTTTTGTTGGTGATGACTAACTCAATGAATGACTTTTGACAATTCCTCTGCAGAAATGTCACAACCATGGCCTTTGTTGCATCTTCTTCCAATAAACTAGTCAATAGACTCTAGTAGTGGGAGTTGATTAATCTAGCAGTTAATTCTCACCATCAGCTGGTCTTCAAGAGCTTTACAGGTCTTTCTGACATTCCACTGAAAGACCAGATGCATTACATTTTTGTGTGACTCCTCTTTACCAATGTCAAGCAAGATTTTTAAAGTTCATTCCTCACAATCACGTCATTCATGCTGTAAACTGGAACTGCAAGCAGTATTTGACAGTTATATTTCAGTGAAGATGCCAAATGATATTGCCCAATCAATAATTAACTTGTAGTACAGTATTTCATAGAATTTTTACAGTATGGAAGCAGGCCATGTGGCCCATGGGGTCCACACCACCCCTCCAAACAGCATCCCATCCAGATCCACCACCCTATCCTATCCCTGTAACCCTACACTCCACATGGCCAATCCATACAGCATGCACATGCCTGGACACCGCAGAGCAATTTCAGCATGGCCAATCCACCCAATCTACACAACTTTGGACTGAGAGAGGAACCTGGAGCACCCAGAGGAAACCCATGCACACACAGGGAGAATGCACAATCTCCAGATAGACAGTCATCCAAGGCCGTAATTGAACCTGGGTCCCTAGCACTGTGAGGCAGCACATGCCACCCTTTGTTTACTTCTTTTACTAGTTTTGTTTCTCTTTGTATTCCCTTTTCTGCTCTGTTTCCAATATCTTTTTCTCCGTTGTCACTCCTTTGCAGATAGCACTTGTAGGTGGTGTCCACAGCCAAAAAGGAATGCTGTTGTCATGTGAGCTTTTGTAAATTTTCATGCCAATTTGGACAAATAAAATGGTGTAACCAACTGAAGTCTGGACACTGTCAAGGCCTTTTAATGTAGGAAACATTTTTCCAAGTGCTTTTAATCTGTATATTCTTCTTGAGTGCTTTGGAGCTCTGTTTTTGGAACCAATTGACGTTTCTTTAAAATTAGAGCAGCGGTCTCTACTGTTAGTTTATTTTCAAAAGAGAAAGCTGGAGGAGGTCTCACTGTGCTTCAGTAGGGGCCTGTAGACTTTAAATTTGTTTGTATTTGTAACTCCAACCATTTTATTTCTTTTATAAATTAAGGCAACTGTATTTTTTCTTCAAGAACCTCAATTCTTATCAAAAGAAATTAGCTCTATTTTCTTGATCATTAATCCCTATGAACAGGACTGTGAACAAAAGGGGATCCCCATTGGCTCACTTGGCTGAATGGCTGGTCTGCAATGCAGAATGATGCCAACATAGTGGGTTCAATTCCTGCATCAACTGAGGTTAGCATGAAGTACTCTCCTTCTCAGCCTCTCCCCTCATCTGAGGCACAGTGACCCACTTTGACTTGCTTTTACCATAACTGTCTGTACTCCCAGGAACCGATATGGCTGATTGTCCAAATTGTTTGGTTAGCGTTGAGTTAGTCTTTTTTCAAATATCTAACTTAAGCTACATTGCTGCTAAACATGATGGGAGTTTTGCCTCCAGCAGGACATTTTACCTGAATGAGGCAATGATTACATTAGCTTCCATAACATTAAAAAAAAACTGGGCATGAATATCATGGTATTAACAGGCGTTTATTATAACTATACCAAAACTACATTCACAGAGTAAGATGAATTATGAGACCTTTATACTCTTAAGTATGAATGACTTTATAGCTATGACTCTTAAAAAGTACAGTGACATACCACGGAAGACAACACAATATTGTCACTTTTAGGGTATCAGAATGTCTGTTCCTGTGCCATGCCCTCAAACAGGACTTGCAATAGTGGAAGCAAATGCACAGGGTTCATTGTGTGATTAACAGAATGTTGGAATTTGTCCAAAGGCATCCTGTTCTACAGACACAAGTGGTTAGCTGGTGGTGTCCCAATGGCATCACATGTAGAGTCAAGGATCACCTCCTTGCATTCAGGGGAAACCAATTACTACTACAACATCCTGAACTCCTAACCTGTGTTGACTATTGAGGTCATTGGGGAAGATGATGTAAAATACATATTTGATACCCACTTAATGCAACTGTGCATTTCAGACTGGGAGATGCAGTTGGTGTTGCTGTAATAAACTGAAAAAAAATTCATTGCTAAAGTTGTTAAGTTCCATGTTGAATTTGAAAGCCACTGACAAGGTATGGCTTCCAGGCCTATCAAAACTTGACAAAGGAGGATGAGCAACTCTGCCTAAGAAAGCACAGCATCTGATTCATTGCTCTTCAAACAGGTCTGGAAAAATAAAGCAAAATACTGCAAATGCTGTACAGCTGAAATAAAAACCAAGTGCTGGAGAAACTCAACAGATCTTGACAACATCTGTGGAAACAGAAACAGAGTTAACCTTACAAGCCCGGATCTCAACTTTCTGGTTTTATTCAAGAAATTAAAACTTGGTCTGTATGCCCTAATTGCTGGATTCTGACTCCAATGAGCAGTAACCCCACACCCAACTCCGGTCTCCACCACCACCAACCTTATTGATACACACTCAGAGTCATACAGCATGGAAACAGACCCTTTCGTCCAACAAATCCATGCCGACCATGTTCCCAAACCAAACTAGTCCCACTTGCCTCCATTTGGTCCATATCCCTGCAAACCTTTCCTATTCATGTACTTATCCAAATGCCTTATAAATGTTGTAACTGTACCTGCATCCACCACTTCGTCTGGCAGTTCATTCCAGGTGCCAACCACGCTCTGTGTAAAAAGGTGCCCCATGTCCTTTTTAAATCTTTCCCCTTTCATCTTAAAAAACTCTCCCACCCTAGAGAAAAGACTCTTGCAAAGACTTTTATCTATGTCCCTCATGATTTTATTTGCCTCTATAAAAGGTCACCCCTCAACCTCCTGCACTCCAGTGAAAAAAGTCCCAGCCCATCCAACCTCTCCCTATATTGCAAAACCTTTGATTCCCGGCAACATCCTGGTAGATCTTTTCTGAACCCTCTCCAATTTAATAATATCATTCCTAAAGCTGGGTGACCAGAACTGTACACAGTACTCCAGAAGAGGCCTCACTAACACCCTGTACAACCTCAACATGACCTCCTGATTCCTATACTCAAAGGTCTGAGCAATGAAGCCAAGCGTGCTCAACATCTTCTTAAACATCCTACCTGGCTGTGACACAAATTTCAAAGAATTTTTGTACCTGAACCCCTAGGTGTCTCTGTTCTACAACACTACCTGGGGTCCTACCATTAATTGTATAGGACCTGCCCTTGTTTGTTGTACCAAAATGCAATACCTTGCATTTATCCAAATTAAACTCCATCTGCCTTTCCTCAGCCCATTGACCCAATTGATCAAGATCCCTTTGTAATCTTAGAAAACCTTTTTCACTGTCCACTATACCACCAATTTTTGATGTCATCCGCAAACTTACTAACCATGTCTCCTAAATTCTCATCCAAATTGTTTATATAAATGACAAACAAAAGTGGACCCAATACCAATCCCTATGCAACATTGCTGGTCACAGGTTTCCAGTCTGAAAAACAACCCTCCACCGCCACCCTCTGTCTCCTGCCGTTAAGCCAATTTTGCATCCAATTGGCAAGCTCTCCCTGAATCCCATGTGATCTAACTTTACTAATTAGACTACCATGCGGAACCTTATTAAAGGCCTTACTAAAGTCCATGTAAACAATGTCTTCAATCTGTCCTCCAGCTTTTTGGTTACCCCCTCAAAAAATTCAATCAAGCTTGTGAGAGACACAATTTCCCTTGCATATACCTAATCAGTCCTTGCCTCTCCAAATGCATTCAAATCCTATCTTTCAGAATCACCAACAACAACTTTACCCAAATCAGACTCACAGGTATACAGTTTCCAGACTTCTCCTTACAGCTTTTCTCAATTAAAAGTATAACATTAGCCACCCTCCAGTCCTCTGACATCTCACCCGCAATTATAGGGCTAGGGGCCCTACAATTTCTTCCCTAACTTCACGACAACCTGGGATACATTTGATCAGGTGCTGGAAATTTATCCATCTTTGTTTTCTAAAACCTCCAGCACTTCCTTCTTCTGTCATGTGAACTGTTTTCAAAACATCAATATTTATTTCCCTGAGTTCTCTAGTCACCATTTTTTCTCTACTGTAAAAACCAAAGCAAAATATTCAATTAGCATCTCTCCAATCTCCTGAGATTCAACACATGCAGGACCTCGTTGATCTTTAATGGACCCTATTCTCTCCCTAGTTGTTCTTTTGCTCCTATGTACATGTAGAATCTTTCAATGTGCACTGGTGGTGCTGGTTGCTGAAGCTACTACTGCTGAGAGTTTGCAGCGATTAGGATATGAAGGTTTGATGGTGATTAACTAACAGAAAGTGTTTAAGAAATGATCTGGGAGCTGGAAACCCACCTGTCAAGCCAGATCACTAGAACAGCCTCTGTGGTAAAAATGTAGCTAGATCTTATTCAGGCACACTTAAATATTTTCAAAAAAAGCATAAATAAATGCACTCCAAATCTTTCCAAAATATTTCGCTTTTAATGGTAAATTTAATGAAAACTTAATGCCCAACTTCTTCAACTGGCCTGCTTGGCACTCACTGAGGAGCTATGGTACACGGTAGTGATATGAACTTTTGCTATTTGTCATAGTGCCTTAAACTTACATCCTTATGTGTGCCAACACTAAGAATGTTTCACATCATCACCATGTCTGCAAGATCCACAAGTGAAGTGATTCATCCAAAGGGAAAGTCTAAACATTGCACAGGTTTACTTTTCAGAAACTTCATTCATTGGATCTCTCTCTGTTTGGTCGGTGCCAAGCTTTTCTTTCTCTACATCTTCCTGGGATTGACATTCAGAAATAAACTTTTCCATCTGTTTCACTGTGTTTTGGCTGTACTTCTGCTCATGACTCAAGAAGTAGTCAGCTAGAATGAGGAAGGCAACTGCAATTAACAGCCCTCCTCCAGCAACATAGAACCCAATACCGTAGTCTCCTGTAATGTCCACCAGAAACCCTGCAACAAAGAGAAACATACAATCATTCCCAATCTGAAACAAACCAGTTTTGTGTTTGACCAGTTATAGCAGAATACGTTATTGTGTTGATCTATCCTGATCTCAATTACAGAACTAATTCTTTTAAAGATCTCTCTCACTCAAATGCACAAGCGCAAAAATCCTGATGATATATACTAAAAGCATCTGGATACCCAGACCCCTCTGTACTGAAGAACAATGAAGTTTCTCACCATTTTAATTAATACACTTTAATTGTTATAAGTAACTTCTTACGTTCTGGCACTTTATCTTACAGCCTACGCTATGAAGTGTACTACTACTATTTCCTTGCACTCTAGCCAGATGCTAAAGAACTTCCTGGATACATAATTCCAGAGGGTATTATTGGCCAGGAAAATCAAAATGTCAACTCTCAAATGATAGCGGCTCATTTCTGTCAGGCACAAAAAAAAACTCTAACTTCATCAAGTAGACATTTAAAAATGTGTTTTTGGATTAGTTTGTGACAAAGTTTTCAATGTTACACCTTTTGCCAATGAGCTAATAGAAACACTGCACAATTAAAGCAAGCATCTCTTTCTAATCCAATTCCAAGCATTAGTGTCCCTTAGCTGTGCAAGTGAGATCTTTAGCATGTTCAATTTGAGCCATCCATATTAGCCATCAATACTCTGCATGGAGTAATATTACCAGTTTGTTCAAATGAAGAGCACTTTGTGCTGTGTGCATGTAGGTTGATATTGAAATAATATGGTATAATACCCAAGCGTCAGGAGAGAATTAGCATCCAAACGCAAAAACATTAAAGTGTGTAAATTAACTGCTTGATGTAATCCTCCAGTGTCACACATTCTACACTACAGCAGTTATAAGTATCTGTTGCAGATGTCAATACCAGGATTCTGCAAGAACATGAGAAATAGAAGCAGGAATAGACCATTCAGCTCCTCAAGCCTGTCCATCATTCTATAAAATCATGGCTGATCTGTCCCAGGCCTAAATTCTCTTCCTTGTCAGCTCCTTATAGCCCTCAGTTCCTCAGCATTTCAAAAACATCTATCCACTTCCTCTTTAAATACTTTCAGTGATCAAGCCTCTCTGGGGTAGAGCAGTTCAGAAATTCACTACCCTCTGGGTAAAGAAATTCCCTTGCATCTCAGTTTCAAACAAGTGTCCCTTTATATTTCCCAATTCAAGATTCTCCCACTAGCGAAAAAATATCTTCTCAACATCTATCCTGTCAACACCCCTCAGAATCTTGTACGTTTTAATAAGATCACTCCTCGTTTTTCAAAATACTAATGAATAAACCTAATCTGTTTAGCCAGGTAGATAAACCAACTCCTTCATCCCAGGTATTAACCCAGTGAACCTCTTTTGAGCTGCCTATGATGCCATTGTACCCTTTCTTAAATACGAAGTCCATAACTGTATACAGTGCTCTGGATGTGTGCTTACCAGCACCCTGTACGTTGTAACAAGACTTTCCTATTTTAAACTCCACTGAAGGCCAAAATTCTATTTGGTTTTTTAATTAACTGCAGCATCTGTGTGCTAACATTTCAAGTTTCATGTACAAGAACACCCAGATCCCTCTGCACTGCTTTTGTGGAATCTTGTTCCATTTAAATAATAATCTGCTTTATGACTCTTCCTAAGAGAACGTAACCTCACACTGTCCTACAATAAAGAAATTTCTCATTTACCCTACTTAACCTCCTGTCAGCACACATTTTGAAACAATGAATCAGTTACTAGTAGAGAACATTACCTGCCAGTGGAGGCCCAAGAAGGCACCCAATTGCCCTGAAGAACATAATCAGCCCGAGTGCATTGTCCAGCTTGTCAACACCCATCACATCAGTCAGCAGGGTGACAATAAGGGCCAACATGGTCCCAAAGAAGAACCCAGAAATACAGCTGAAGATGACAAGCAGGGTGTAACTCTTAGCTACAGGGAAAATCAAGAGAGCTATGCTCAAAATTGTAACCATGATTGTTGTCAGGCGGATTGATTTCATTAGGCGCAAGTTGGCCAACCAACCACACCCAAGTCGCCCAATGAGGTCACCTGCTGACCAGTAAGACATCAATAAAGCTGCTCGAAAATCCTCGATCCCAATGTTTTGGGCATGAGGAATTAAATAGATGGCAGGAACGAAGAAGCCCACAACTGAGAAAAACCCAAAGAAGATCATGCAGATAAACTTTGGTTGTTTCAGAAGAGGCAAGTCAAAAAAATGTGCAAGGTTCTTCTTTTGTCTCGTGCTTGTGCCACACAAATCGTTCCCGGAGGTGGCAGCAGATGGTGACGTAGCATTCTGACTTTTCTTCTGTGCCTGATACGGTCTCATCAGAGCTCCGCAGACACAGAGATTCAGCTGAATTCCAGCGATGATTATCATTGCTTGTCGCCATGACATCTGGTCAACAAGCCACTGGTAGAATGGTGTGAAGATGAAGGTGAAGACACATTCTCCACAACTGGCAATGGCATTGGCCAGTGGCCTCCGTTCTGTGAAGTACTGCGTGACCAGACTGACTGAGGGCACCCAAGCAAATCCATTACCCAAACCTGAAGGAAAACAGAAACACACATATTAAAAATATCTGAGCAAGAAATGAGTCAAGGAAAATTAAAATAATTGCAAAAGTAAGTTTAGACAGAAGATTTAGCCATTTCTCATCTATTCAGGAAAATCCTTCAATTTTCCATGACAGCATCCAATTGCTCCTTTAAAGATTCTGAGTTTTAATATTGTTCTATCCTGTGTGCCTGACCTTCTGATTGCCCCAAATTGAGTAAGTCATTAAGTCAGACCCCTTCCTCCCTATCTGGGGAGAAAGCCTAGAAGGTGAAATTATACAAAATTAAGGAAGCAACAAAATGATATGAGAAAATATTGACAAATAAAGAGAATGTCAATGATATTTTACAAATACATGAAGACTAAGAAGACGCTAAAGAAATGATCAAAAAGCTATTGTATGCATGGAGAATGGTGAGCATGATTCTTAATTACTATTTTCTGTCTGACTTCAAAAGTGAGGAGGATGATTCAAACATTCTAATTAAGGGCATATATAAAATATTGGATGGTATAAACATAACAGCACAGGAAATATTAAAATAATTAGCACCCTTGGAAGCCAGATGTGGATGAATAAATCCCAGGCTTCTAAGAGAAACAAGAGGAGAAATAGTGGAGATTCTAACCAGCATTTTCTAACCTTCTTTGGCTATTGGCACTGCAGCTGCAAGATTGGAGGATTGTTATTTTTGTGTTCTTGTTTAAAAGAGGGAAACTGGAAGTAATTATATACCACTCGGACGTAACTTTGGTAGTGAGCAAGTTGTTGGAAAAATTTCCCAGGAATAGTAAGAATCATCATTAGACATGACAGATTAATCATGAACAGTCAGCAAGGATTTGTAAATGGAAGGTCATGACTGACCAAATTGGTTGAATTTTTTTAAGGAGGTAACAAGGAGATTTGATGGGGACAATGCATCTGATTAGTCTACATAGAAACATAAGAATTAGGAGCAGGAGCAGACCATTTGGCTTCTCAAGTGTGCTTTACCATTTCATATGATCATGGCTGATCTACTATTGCCTCAACTCTAACCCCTGTCTAACCCCAATAGACTTTGACTCTTGTCAATCAAGAACCTGACTCAGTCTTAAAAATAGTCAATGATTCTGCTCCCGTTGTTCCCTCAGGAAGAGAATTCCAAACATCAACAACCCACAGAGAAAAAAATTCTCATCTCTATCTTGAATGAGAGATTTCTTACTCCTGAGAGATTTCTGTATGCCCTAGTTCTAGTCTCTCCCACAAGGGGGAACACCCACTCAGCATCCACCCTGTCAAGTCAGGGGCCTAGTGATCTGAGCTGGGATATGTACGGAGAATCTCATGACTGGACAGTGGATTGGTATTCATTTGGGAGTAGAGTGAGAAGAGTGTTGACAATTGGAGGATCAGGAGAGGTTGGGGGCGGAGGAATATTGGTGACAAGACCTGGTATGACTGCAAGGAAGGCTAAGTGCTGTCCAATTTTTGCTGTATAGAGTCGTACAGCACAGAAACAGACCCTTCAGTCCAACCAGTCCAAGCCAAACATAATCCCAAACTATTTTTGGTCCCACGTGCCTGCTCTTTGCTCATGTCCCTCCATACCTTTCCTATTCGTGTACTTATCCAAACGTCCTTTAAACATTGCAATTATACCAACATCCACCACTTCCTCCGAAAGTTTACTGCACACGCAAACCGCCCTCTGTGTAAAAAATTTGCCTCTCATGTTTTTTTTTTAAATCTCTCTCCTCTCACCTTAAAAAATGTGCCCCCAAGTCTTGAAATCTCCTATCCTAGGGAAAAGACAACTCCCATTAATTCTATCAATACCTCTCATTATTTTATAAACTTCTATCAGAATGCCTCTCAACTCCTACGCTCCAGTAAAAAAAGTCCCAGCCTTTCTTTATAACTCAAACCTTCCATACCTGGCAACATCCTGTTAATTGTCTTCTGAACCCTCTCCAATTTGATAATATCTTTTCTATAACTGGGCAACCAGAACTGGACACAGTAATCCAGAAGAGGGCTCACCAATGTCCTGTACAACTTCAATATTATTTCCCAACTCCTATACTCAAAGGGCTGAACAATGTAGGCAAGTGTGCCATTTGCCTTTTTAGTCACCCTGTCTATATTCTTTGAAGTTTGCGTCATATAATGTAACTTCACCCCTAGATTCCCCTGTTCTACCACATTACCCAAAGCCCTACCATTAATTGCATAAGCCCTATCCTTGTTTGTTATACCAAAATGCACATGGAACTTCATCTGCCACTTTTCAGCCCATTGACTCATTTGATCAAGATCCCTTTGTAATCTTAGAAAACCTTCTTCACTCTCTACAATACCATCAATTTTGGTGTCGTCCACAAACTTACTATCCATGCCTTCTATATTCTCATCCAAAACATTTATATAAATGACAAACAAAAGAGGACCCAGAACCAATCCCTGTGGAACACTGCTGGTGACAGGCTTCTAGTCCAAAAAGCAAGCCTCCAACTTCACTCTGTCTCCTACCTTAATTTTGTATCCAATTGGCAAGCTCACCCTGAATCCCATGTGACCTAACTTTATTAATTAGTCCACCATGAGGAACTTTGTCAAAGGTTTTAGATAAAGTACTTAACTCAGCAGGTCAAGTAATATCTGCGGAGGGAAAGAGAAAGAACATTTCAAACCATTCATCATGCAGACAAAAGGTTGTTTCTACTTGACACATCCACTTTCTTCTCTCCACAGATGCTGCCTGACTTGCTGAGTATTTCCAGCAACTTTAGTTTCATTTCAGATTTCCAGCACCCACTCTATTTCACGTTGGCCAAGATACATAACCCCACAGCTCATAATCATTAGAGCTGGTGACTCAAAGTTTCTCTCTTCACTGTCAAAGTTTCTCATCCCTAATATCGTCATAATGAATTACTTCTGCACTTCCCCACAACATTCATTTAAAGAAAGACAACCAAAACAGTCTTCAACATTCTATCTACAGTCTAACAAAACATTCATACACCTGGGCATTATCTCAATGTCTTCTATTGTACAAATCCATAAAAAACAGGTTGATTTTTAATTTGCTCCTTGTAGCATTGGCTCCATTTAATTTTGTTAAACTATACCCAACAATCCTCTGAAAATTGCTGGCAGGATAAACACAGTTACAATCCATACAACTCAATCATACTTAAAAATACACTCATCAAGATCAATTAAGATAAACTTTAATTATTATAATTTACCAGTACTATAAAGTAATTGCAAATCCGTAGTTCAATGATACAGATCACCTCAACGACATGCAATGATTAATTTGAATGCTTCCCTCTAATAACTCCTTCTATAGAATTTCACTCCCCAGATCCAAACTTGTATCAACACACGCAGCTTTAACTCACTCACTTACCCGTGAGAAAACCCGTTGTGAGATACATTGCCAACAGACTGAAGCCGAAGGATCCAAGCAGTAGTCCCAGTGACGACAGTATGCCACCGATGATGATGATGACTCGGTGCGACAACAGGAGACTGAGAGCACTAGCTATCGGGCCTACAGGTACAACAATGAAACACAATTAAATAGCAATTTCTATTCTAACCTCAATTTTAAGGTCCATGAAGCTTTAATTTTGAGTGAGATTAGAATTGATAGCAAGTAAACAACACGATTGAGTCAGTGTGAATTAATTGACAGTACAACATTGAAAACATAAATGGCATAGAACGTTCTTAGCTAATATTTTTCTCCACATCTGCCATCAAGTCTAAACTATTTCTCCTATTTAGTCCTCATCTGTTGAAAAAAAAATTAAAAAAGGACCAGAGATAGTAAGAATGGCCGATGCTGGAGTCAGAGATAACACAGTGTGGAGCTGGAGGAGCACAGCAGGCCAGGCAGCATCAGAGGAGCAGGAAAGCTGAAATTTCGGGTTGGGACCCTTCTTTCTCCAGCTCCACACTGTGTTATCTCTTATTAGAAGGACCACAAGCGTTTTGAGATCACAATCATACATCCACTGATTCTCTGGCTTTACAGGTGCTACTTTTGAATGGCTGTGTTTTAAATTGCCTCCTACAACTTAGAGGCAAAAATGCAAGCAAGGAAGCAAACAGAGAATAAAATCCCAAGAATCTAGAACATATTGCAAGGTCTCCTAAATGCTGAAAGAGGACCGAGCATTGATTTCAGACGGCACTCACTCAAAACTGTAGCTCCAGGTTTTACGCTCACAACACTTCTTAAATGTGAATTTAATTTGTTGAGACCTACATGATATAAAAGAATAGTGGCAGCATAGATGTGAAGTTGGCAGAGTTGCAGGAAACAGACAGCAATGGTGAACATTGGTTTTTCAAAATCAAGGACGGCAATATAGTGAAGTTCAGCAGGTCAAGAGAATTGCCTGTTTCTATGCTATATGTCTCTATGACCTAGAATTGAGAGGGCAGTCACAATTTTAACATCTGCAAATGACAAAGAACTTGGAAACTGAACTATGAGAATGACAAATACACAAGATGATGTTGGTGGGCTTCAGCCAGAGGATGGTGAGTCTGTGGAACTCATGGCCCCCACAGTCTTCTGAAGCAAAGTCATTAAGTGTATGTAAAACAGAGGTAGATAGGCTTTGGATTAGTAAGGAGATTAAAGCTTCCAGGGAAAAGGCAGGAGAACAGTATTAAGAAACATATCAGCCATCATCAAATTTGGAGACTGAATGGCCTAATTCTGCTCTTATTTCTTATGGTGGAATGGGGCAGACAGGGGACATACAAAATTCAATGCAGAGAACTCTGTTTGGATTTTGATAGGAAAGGTTACATAAAATAAAATGAAGCCAATTCTAAAGGGTCGCAGGATGTTTGACATTGGCAGAGCAGGTTGAGAAAGATGGTAATGAAGCACACCTTGTACTTTATGCCGGTATTTAGAGAATGCAATTGAAAAGAAGTTATGGTGAAACCTTATAAAGCACCGAAGGCTTGGCCTCAACTGGAGCATTGACTTCACATTTTAGAAAGGACCTGAAGGCACTGCAGAAGGTGCAGAGAAGATTCAGTGGGTGATTACTGGGATGAGGAACCTCGGTCATGTAGATAGATTGGAGAGCTTGGCATTGTTCTCTTTGCAGAAGATGGATGATAGGAGATTTGATGGAGATGTTCCAAACCATGAGGGGATTGGACAGAGCAGATGTGGAGAAACTGCTGAAAGTTGAAAGGCTTAGAAAAGAAGATGCCAATTTAAAGTGTGTGACAACAGAACCAAAAGGTAATTCGAGGAAGGTGAGTGTTATGATCTGGATGCACGGTGTAATTGTGTGGCAGAGGCACATTCAATTGTGGCTTTCAAAACCGATTTGGAAAATTGTCTGAAAAGAAAATGTAAAGGAGTGAGAATAACTCAACTTCTCTTGTAGAGACCTGGCACAGAAACAACAGTCTGAACAACTGCTTTCTGTGACAGAATTATAAGAGTGGTTGTATGTGCAATGGAATGTGGCTGATCCAGGTGGTGAGGGACGTATGTTGGAATATTATCACGATCAGTGATTGATACTTACAACACACGTGAAATACAGCCACAGTGATCGCAGTGATCCAGGAAATCTTAAAGGCGAGTGAATCAAAGTATTCTTGGATGTCAAGAAAAAATATTCCAAACGTTTTCACAAAGGACGTCGACAATCCAGTTATAACGAAGCAAGATGCTAATATAACCCATCCATAGCCACCGTCTGTGTATTTTGGAGTGGGAGGACTGTCAACAGGCTTCTCTACAGCAGAGTCAGCAGCTTCGAGTTCCCTTGACATTGCAACTTGCTTTGAATCTGATAAAAAAAGACATTTGTAAGGCAATTATTTCAGGGGAGGCAGTGGCCTTGGTGGTATTATCGCTGAACTCTTAATCCAGAGACCCAGGAAATATTCTGAGGACCCAGATTCAAATCCCACCATGGCAGATGGTGGAATTGGAATTCAATAAAAATCTGGAATTAAGAATCTAATGATAACCATGAAATCATTGTTGATTGTTGGAAAACCCCAGCTGGTTCACTAATGTCCTTAGTTAAAGGACTGATGTCTTTTAGGGAATGAAACTGTCACCCTTACCCGATCATGTGACTCCAGATCCACAGCAATGTGGTTAACTCTTAACTGCCCTCTGGGATGGGCAATAAATGCTGGCCTAGCCAGCGATGCCCTCATTCCATGAATTAATTTTAAAAAATTCAGTTTGATGAAAAATCAACTCAGAACTCATTTCTCTGTTAGCTGCTACTGTTCACCTGTGTTTTTTTTTTCTGGATTTTAACATGCATTGTTTTGCTTTTATTTCAATTATGAAATATTCATTCTGACTTTCAGAGATGTAACTTATGTCATTGCTGCATGATGCTACTTGACAGATTTACACAGGTTTCCTGAGGTTGGATAGTTTAAATATTTTTGCTGCTTCTTTGCTGTAAATTGAGTGTAGAAACTCTGTACACTGCTGAAGAACATTTTCCTTCCATTTTGCTAAGTATCTGTGCAACATTCAAATCTTCAAAAGCCCTATTCAGATGACTGTTGAGTCATGCTCTAGGTATTCAGAAAACAATTGGTTTTACTAACCATTTTCACCAGATCACTTGATAACGTCTCTCACACTATCAGTCCAGTCTGGCAATGTTGTCCCCAGATGGATACTAGCTGCATCCACTAGACACTGTACTAGGGCACCAAACATAAAAACTCCCATTGGTCTGACCCATTAATAATGTTTTGTTCATTATCCTAGACTCCCTGACCAGCAGAAAAGGTTGCTCACTATCTAGTCTATCAGTCCTTTCAAAATACTGAGAACTTCAAATCAAGCTACTTATAACAGTGGACAAATATTTAAGGGGTTTTCGTGAAATTCTCCTAGTGAGGCCATTAATGATATTTTCTTAAAGTATTTCTTCTTACCAATGTGTTAAAGCATTTTCTCTATTGTTATCTACAATGCCGATCCTTTGCCTGTTCATTTTTATAAAACAAGCAGGTAAATCAAAACCAGAGAAACTGACTGCACAAAAATTGTTTCTGCTGTTAGATTCAAACATTAACCAGTTCAAAACAATAACTAACTTTTGTCTATTTCACAAGGGTGAAAATAAGTCTAGGAAGTGAGAGTTGGAACAGTCAAGATATACCTCAAAACATAAACATGACAAGGATTATTTTAAGACCAATAAGGAACAAGAGTTTGCCACAGCCAATAGCATCGTGGCTGATCCCACATTGCTCATATCCACTTTCCTGCGTTTTCCTAATAACCCTTGATTCCCCAAAAGATCAAGAATCTTTCTTTCAAATGTAGAAATGCATGAATCACATCAGCAACGAGCTACACATTCTAAAACCGCTAGTCTTTCATAAATATACTGAACGGTTCAGTCTAATGCGCACTTTAATTAGTCATCGCACTGCAGTATCCAGTCACCTTACCTGCTGTTAACAGTCACTCAAGTTGAAGTGGTTGTCTGGGTCAAGCAGAGTGCCTACGATGCAAGAAAGATTAGTTTGCACTGTTACAAGAGATTTCCACAATTTCAGGATGATTCAAACCTTCTTACAACCAATAAAGTGTTTTTTTTTTCAAGTGGCACTATTACAATATAGAAATTACAGCAGCCAATCTACATACAACAAGGACCCACAAACAACAGTAAAATAAATGACCAGATCATCTGTTCTAATGATGTGCACTGAAGAACTGAAAGACCAGCCAGCACACCAGAATTAGTTGCCCTGTTCTTCCCAAAACAACATCATGCGATCACTCATATCCACCCAAGGCTGCAGACTTTGGTTTAAGTGTCTTTTCTGGAAGATGATAGCTCTGAATGAAACACTTCCTTAGTAGTGGAGTGTAGCCTCGAGTCTTACTCAGGTACAAGGGTCACCACCGTTAAGCTGAAGCTGACACCAGTTATGTTTGTATCACTGCAGCAAACATAAAAAGAAAAATAGTTACAAATTACATTCTATACTTACTATATACAGGCTGTGTTCCAACTGTTCAGTCCGTCTGATATGTGTGCTCTTCGTTAGAAACATTCAGAGGAAACCTTTCAAACTGGCAATAAAAGACGAAGCAAGGGTGGAGGCAATGGGTGCAGCAGAGAACAAATCACAAGAAAACTATGCTGTGTTAACTGGTAGATAACAGCTCCTGGTACTTATCGTACCATACTCGTAATTAATTGATGCTTCACCTTGATACTGCTTGCAAACCAGACTCATTGGTGTATTCTACCCAAAGCTGTTTTCTAAATTAATATCTTCCCACTGTTGACAGCACCATCAACTGTTCATGGCTCACCATAACTGGGTGGGAATTTCAAACGTTTGCCTGAAGCCAGATACAAATGCAAACACACATCTACTTTAGAGCCAATACTAATGGATAAAACTGGTGATTTCAAACCACGCCTCCACAGTACAATTCCTCTTGCAAGCTGCAGAAATATATTGTGGCTATAAACCAGGGGTCAGACTCCTAACCGCAACTCTAAACAGGCCTGTGTAGCAGTATCACCTTTGTTTCCTGTACTGTCCTTTCATGGTTGATGTATTTGGTAATCAGCACTATCGAAATAATTGCTAATAAGGGAAAGACTGAGTCACAATGCTACTCAAACCTGTTCCAGCATCAATAGCATTGAATATGATGACGTCTTTACCTTATCTCCACTTTCCTGTCTTATATTCATAAACTTTGATCCAGTGCAGTTCATTAACCAATCTGATTAATCTTAAATATATTTAATTAATCAGCTTCTACAGCTCTTGGGATAGAAAATTTCAAGTTTCACAAACTTTGGGGAGAGGAAATTCTTCCAATTGCTGGGCCAGATCTTTGAGGTGGGAACTGGGCATCAGACCATTCCCAACATTGTAAAGCTCCCCGCTGACAAACATGCTGACTATTTCGGAAGGGGAGGGGATGGAGAAGATTGGGTTTAGGCTGCTGCCTCCTGAAACAGGTCCAAGGCAATTTTGAAGAGGGTTCATGCCATGGTGGCCAAGTTCACCACCAATTAAGAGCCATAGTTATAGAACTGTACAGTACGGAAACAGGCCCTTCAGTCCAACTCATCCATGCTGACCAGATATCCTAAATTAATCTAGTCCCTTTTTGCCAGCATTTGGCCTACATCCCTCTGAGCCTATTCATATATCCATCCAGATGCCTTTTAAATGTTGTAAGTATACCAGCCTCCAGCACTTCCTCTGGCAGCTCATTCCATTCTCACACTGCCCTATGTGCGAAAATGTTGCCCCTTAGTTCCCTTTTAAATCTTTTCCCTCTCACCTTAAACCTATGCCCTCTAGTACTGGGTGGGGGAAAAGACCTTGGCTCTTCACCCTATCGTTGCCTTTCATGATTTTATAAACCTCTATAAGGTCACCCCTCAGCCTCCGATGCTCCAGGTAAAATAGCCTATCCAGCCTATTCGGCCTCTCCCTATAACTCAAACCCTCCAACCCTGGCAACATCCTTGTAAATCGTTTTTGAACCCTTTCAAGTTTCACAACATCTTTCCTGTAGCAGGGAGCCCAGAACTGAATGCAGTATTCCAAAAGTGGCCTAACCAACGTGCTGTACAGCCGCAACATGACCTCTCAACACCTATTCTCAATTCAACTGACCAATAAAGGAAACTATACCAAATGCCTTCTTCACTATCCTGTCTATCTGCAACTCCACTTTCAAGGAACTATGAACATGTACTCTAAGGTCTCTTTGTTTAGCAACATGCCCCAGGAGTCCTGCCCTGATGTTCCTTTCCAAAATGCAGCACCTCAAATTTATCTAAATTAAACTCCATCTGCCACTCCTTGGCCTATTGACCCGTCTGATCAAGGTACTGAGGTAACCTTCTGGGCTGTCCACTACACCTCCAATTTTGGTGTCATCTGCAAACTTACTAACCATACATGTATTCATATCCAAATCATTTACATAAGTAATGAAAAGCAGTAGACCCAGCACTGATCCTTTTGGCACACTGTTGATCACAGGCCTCCAGTCTGAAAAGCAACCCTCCACCACCACCCTCTATTTTCTATCTTTGAGCAAGTTCCTTTGGCAAATGGCTAGTTCTCCTTGTATTCCATGTGGTCTAACCTTGCTAACCAGTCTACCATGAGGAACCTTAGTGAACACCTTACTGAACTCCACATAGATCACATCCACCGCTGTGCCCTCATCAATCCTCCTTGCTACTTCTTCAAATAAATTCAATCAAATTAGTGACACATGATATCCCGTACACAAAGCCATGCTGACTATCCCTAATCAATCCTTGCCTTTGCTGTGATATTGGCTTAGTTTTGGAGATGGGTGTGATGCCCTTGAAGATTCACCCCCTAATCCTCTCACCTCCTTACCTCCGTCACCTCCTAACCCTTTCTTTATCCTCCCTAATACCTGCTGACCCATTACCACCCTCATTCCCCTGCATCCCTTCCATAATCCTCCTCACCCAGAATCCATCAAATACATAAGGCAAGAACTATATGATAACATTGGGAAGGCTGATATTAAGTTTTTGAGAAGCTTTGTAGCTCGTGTTGTAGATGAGGTTGCAGGCTTGCTCGCCAAGCTGGTGTGTTTGATTGCAGACGTTTCATCATTCTGCTAGGTAACATCATCAGTGTGCCTCTAGTAAAGCGTTGGTGTTCTGTCTTGTTTGTTATTTATATGCCTCAGTTTGCTGGGGCGCTTGTTATTACTTCCGGTTCTGTTTTTCAGTGGTTTGTATATCGGGTGCAGTTCAGTATGTTTGTTGACGGAGTTCCGGTTGGAATGCCAGGCCTTCAGGAATTCCCTGGCATGTTTCTGTTTGGCTTGTGCTATTCTGGATGTGTTGTCCCAGTCGAATTTGTGCCCTTCTTTGTCGGTGTGTATTGATACCAGTGAGAATTGGTCATGTCTCTTGGTGTACCCTAGGTATCAGGGTAGCCCACAAACCAAACAGCCTGCAACAGCTACCAATGAACGTAAAGGACACCATATCCACACACATTAAAACTAATGTAATACACAAAATACCATGCAAGGACTGTGAGAAACTTTATACAGGCCAAACTGAAAGAAAATTGACAATAGGGATACACGAACACCAACTAGCCACCAAGACCATTTCTCACTGGTCTCAGTACACACAGACCAATGGCTGACAATAAATGGCTGCTCTCGAATTTGGCCATACCTTCTTGCTTTGTGAGCCTACACTTCCCCTCTTCAAAACCTCAACCTCTTCTAACTAGTTTGAAGCCCTCTCTACAGCCCTAGTTATTTGATTCCAGAGGTGAGGAGAGAGAGTGTTAGCCCTTAACATCAAGTTCGCACTTGACAGAGTGAGGCATCGAGGAGTCCTAGCAAAACTGGAATCAATGGGAATTGGGGGGCAGACTCTCCGCTGGTTGGAGTCATACCTAACACATAGAAAGATGGTCGTGGTTGTTGTAGCTTTGTTGAAAAAAATCTGAAGAAGGGTCTCGGCCCAAAACGTCGGCCCAAAACGTACTCACTCAACTGAGGTCAAACACTCCTGTACCCACAACACTAGCCGTGCGGGGACGATCTTCTCTTTCTTATATAGGTCTGCTCAGAGAACCTATTGAGCCACTCTAATTAACAACAGAGGAATTTAGATGGTTGAACTCTAGCAGCCAGAATCTGTCAGCTATTTCCTTTAGGCCACTGTACTTACATCACATTAGGTAAATTACCTCTACAAACTTAACTTCAGAACGACGTAACAGCTGAGTTTGTACTTTAATTAAAATTTCCAGAAGTAGTCAGTCAGTAATCCAGCCATCCTTTATCCCACTCGACTTGAGGTGCCACACTGCTGCGGTCCCAACGCTAACGCAGCTCCTAACTTCCACAGAGGTGCCAGCCACTCAAATAGATTAGGCTAGAGATAGTAGGATTGGTCTAGACCCGAAACGTCAGCTTTCCTGCTCCTCTGATGCTGCTTGGCCTGTTGTGTTCATCCAGCTCTACACCTTGTTATCTCAGATGGATCAGGCTGCTGTCTTACTCCTTTATCCTGCATCATCAGAAATTTTTGGCAAAACAAATGGGGGAGGAAATCCCTGAATGGGTTTCGCACACCATTTTCAAAGCCACCCAATATTAATGGGCCCTGTGTCAAGACAGAAAAACCTAGCCTTCTGCCTTTAGTGCGTATCTGCTTATTCCAGAATTTAGTTCTGGACTCCCTTGTGAGGAGACAGATCCTCTCAATCTACCCTGTCAAGCTTCCTCAGAGTCTTATATTTTGCAATAAAATGATTCGTCATTCTAGAAACTCAAATGAACACAGGGCTAATCTGCTTAACTTTTCCTCATAAAACAACCTTTTCTTTCCAGGAATCAGTGGACTGAACCTTAACTGAAATGCCTTCAAGGGAAGCATATCCCTCCTTCAACAGGTAGACAAAAATCTGATCCATCAAATGCATTTTGGAAACGCAAGAATGCGTTAGCTGGCTCCCCTTTGTTCACCATCCCATAACCCCATCAATTCGTATTCAAAGAATCTCAATAAATTTGTCAAACACTCCTCTTTCAGACCAACTTGTCAACCCAATACAGGTCATAGTTCCCAGTGTCCACACCTAATACAGTTATATTTGCCTAGATTAGCCCTACCCTTCCCACCCAGATGCTGGCATATCAGATGAATAGTGGTTATTCATGGACCTCTCCACTCTCTTGAAGCTGGGGTGGATGGATCCCCACACCACCTCCTCCCCCATCCCAGCCTTACACCCTTCCCATGCATTCCCTACAAAATCCTGCTGCAACTCACCCCCTTCACAATTTCACTGTACTCTTACCCAGAGGCTGCAGTGCCCAGTCCCAAAGACAAACCTCCAAACTGCTGTATTGCGGCTTTGGCTGCACATGCCCCTTAATGCTTCCCCACACCAGCACCCCCTCACCACCAGGGTCCTGTGAACAGACCTGACAGACTGTACCATGGACTACTCCCTCACCTGATAAGATCAGTCAGCCCAGGCCAAGAAATGCCAGATCCCTGACTGGTGCCTATTCATCTACCCATCTGCATTCAATTGGCCACTCGGACTGGCTGCTACAGAGCTCATGGGCTGACTGTGGCCCACTCCCTGGACTGTATAAACATGGACCTCCAGACAAAGATTCGCAACCAGGCATCTGACCGTGACCAATGCCCTGGACTGGAATGGTAGGCTTGCTTGACTTACTGTGCCAGGACCCCCCAGCTGAAGGGTACCTCTATGGAATTCATTGCTGATTGCTCCACTTCGAGTTGGATACATGGCTGCCAGCTTGCTGCATATGCAGTGTGC